TGTTGAGTTTAGATTAGTATTTGTATATTAGTAGAAATTAATAATAATAATAAGTCATTTCTGAAATATTGATACTTTGTATGATTACTTTGTAGTAGAACTTCTCATTATTGTAGTGCTCTATAAGATCGAGATCGGAATCATTTTGAAAGTCTTGATCTATTTCACTAGATCTTATAAGAAAACCCCTTATCAGGTTTTAAATTTACGAGAAATGAAATATTAATAAACTCTACATAATCAATCAAATTTACTTTAATTTTAGTTCAAATTTTATCGAATTTAAACTTACCTTAAATCTTACTTTTTTCCCACTTTATGAAACAACCATCATCAAATCATTCAAAACTATCACAATCCAAAAATTCACATATTTTATTTGAAAATTCAGATCTTGTTGGATCTGAAGATATACAACTTAGTGATTTAAGTTCAAAATCTGCTAATACTAATAATAATAGTATCAGTGATTCCATATCAAGTAATACAACTCCTTCTATATCAAAAATGTCAAGTACTAGTTTATTACATGAAAATGAACAACACTCAGAAATAAATTTTGATATAGATTTAGAAGAAGAAAATGATGAAGAAATTTTGAATTTATATAAAGATAATAAATTATCTACAAAAATTAAACGATTTTTTTATAGATTATGGAAAGGTCCTATTGAAGCAAAAGATGAATATGCACCAAGAATAAATAAATTGAAATATTTTGAAGAATTACCAGATAAATTTAATGAAAGAATTCCCCTATTGTATAAAAGATTACTACTATCGACATATTTAATTTTTTGGTTTGGATTAATTTATACAATTTTAATTCCTTATTTTACAATTCCTCCTTATTCACCTCAAGATCCAAATACTCATATATATTCATTATCATGTTCATCAGATTCTCAATTTTGGAATGGTAAAAATACAGCATGTGGATTAAATGGTGAATTATGTCCTGAAATTTTAAAACATAATGACAAAGATAAAGATATTATAATACGATGTCCTGCATTATGTGATAGAGGAAGTTGGACTTATTCATTAATACCAATTGGAAATCAAAGAATAAAACATCGTGGTTATTTTATAGGTGGTGGAGATCAAATACCACCCGGAAAAAAAATTGATAAAAATCAAATTACAAATCCTTATAGAGCTGATTCTTTTCCTTGTGGTTCTGCTATTCATGCTGGAATTGTATCACCTATATGGGGTGGATGTGCTAGAATGTCTTATAAAAGTGCGAATCAACCTTATTTTAATTCAACAAAAGGTCATTATGGAGTTGATGATTCAATAAGTTTTAAATCATTTTTTAAATCTTCATTCTTTTTCAAAAATTTGAAATCTGGGGGTGGTGATCAATTTGTTCAATGTACTGATCCAAGAATTATAATATTAATTATAAACATATTATTAGGTATTCCAATAGTTTATTTATCAAATGGAGCTGTAACTTATTGGGTGACTAATATAGTTGGATTTTGGACAATTTGTTTAGCTACTGATCCTCCAATAAATGTTGATGCAACAAATCCTCAAGATTTTGCATATTTAATATCAATTGGGTTGGAGAGATTTTTACCAACTTGTTCTATTTTATATATATTATGGCATTTTTCAACAAAAAGAACATTATCCGCTACTTCAGATGTTAAAATTTCTTATTTATCAAGATTATTTTTATTTTATCCTTTATTTTGGTTAGGAGTATTAAATAATGTAACATTTGATAGATTACCTGTTGATAGATTAACTGTAAATGATTTGAAAGAACAATCTGGTGCAATATTAGCAGTTTCTGGAATTATTATAACTATAACTACATGTGGCTTTATACAAGCTTATAAAATTTGGTTATCTGGTAGATTTAAAAAATATTTATTAATTTATTCTATTTTTGTTATTGGATTAATCTTTTTAGCAGGTATTCCAGGTTTGACATTAAGAGTTCATCATTATATTTTAGCTATGTTATTGATTCCAGGCTGTGCAACAAGAGGTAGAACAGCATTAATGTTTCAAGGTATATTATTAGGATTATTTTTATCAGGAGCTTCAAGATGGGGATTAGCTGCAATAGCAGAAACTATAACTTCTTTAAAAAGAGATGATCCACAAGGTACTTTAATTCCACCAATTTTAACAAGTTATGATATTCAAACTGGTGAATTAAATTGGGAAAATATACCTACAAATATAACAACTACATTAACTACTGTATATGAAAAATATTCATCAATTTCAATATTAATTAATGATATTGAACATTTAATTGTAGATAATTCATCATCAGTTAATTTTAAACAATTATTAACCAACACGACTAATCCTATTTATACATGGGTACAAGATGGTCTAAAAAATGGTTTAAAAGATTTAAATGGTGATATACCAATATTTATTAGAATTGGTCGAAAAATTCCAAATACTAAAATATATAGTGATTTTTCAAATGCTGCAATTTTAAAATGGCCAAGTGGTGAATTAACCTTACAATCTCCCGGTATGACATAATGAATATACGAATAGCATGATAATTATTTACTGTAGTGTCTGTCTCTTATTTAGAAATTGGTCTTGTGACATTACATGTGAAACATTAAACCAAAAAAAAATAGATCAAAGTGAAACCAAATTCTGCACCAAATTTTAAGTTACGATTGCTACTATAAATTATGTAAATTTCATTAGAAAAAGAAATGTTTTAAACAACTACTCCACAAAATCAACTCGAGTCTAATATTATTCTTGAGTGGTAACAACTAAAGAAAATAATGAATTGTATACAGAGAGTAACTATCAATTATGGAAGATCATTCACTTATATACGGCAAAGACAATTATACGGAGCAAGATTTAAACCTACTTCTACAACAACCAAAGTAATATCCGAACCCCAGAATAAAATACCTAGACCCAATGTAAGATGGTTTTATGCTTCTGATGTACCAATTTCCAAACCTGAATGGTTTAATTATAAACAAACAAAACAACCAGAATCATTTATACCATTTTCAGAATATGATTCAATAAATTTAGAAAAAGAATATCAAAAATTAAATAAAAATCATGAGCGACAACCAAAACCAATTGAAGTAAATGAAGATAAATTATTTGAAGTAAATGTTAAAAATTATCAATTGAGTCCTGCTTATTGGGACGGTCCCATATATGAAGTAAGAAGAGGTATATGGTTTGATTCAGATGGGAAACCATTAAATAAAGATTTAACAAATGAATTAGAAAATGGATTTAAAAATGTAAAACCTTATTTATTTAATAGTTCATATGGTGATAAAAAGTCTAAGTCTAATAAGGATAAAATTTCGAAATTTAATAAATATCAAAAACAAATTGAAGAACAACAGGAAAAAGAAGAAAATGAAGTTGATGTTAGCGGACAAAAAGATGTATACAAATTAAATAATGATCAACTTGTCTTATATTTTAATGAAAATCAAGCTGTTATATTCCCCAAGACATTAGCAACTGATTTTCAAATTGATATAATAAGATATTTTGGACCAAATCCTGTATCATTATTAGGAGTTGAACATATAGAAAGAGGTTATTCTGAAAAATTAAAACAAAGTTTATTTGATAAATTACCAAACAATCCATTACCTGGTATAGCAGATACTTTTCAAACTGAATTCGGAAATATATTAGGTAAGGAGAATGAAGAGAAGAAAGGAGAGAATACTGAAGAAGAAATAAATGAAGAAGAATCAACAAATGAAATTGATGATAAACATATGCAACAATATCTTGAAACAGATTATGATTTAGAAACTTCAAAAACAAAATCAAATAGAGAAATTGATCATTTAATATTATGTGTTCATGGAATTGGACAAGTTTTAGGAAGTAAATATGAATCAGTTAATTTTACTCATAATATAAATGTATTAAGAAATACAATGAAAAAAGTATTTGAAGAAAATGATGAATATAAAAAATTAATATCCTCTAATGATAAGAAAGTTGATCAACTAAATAATAAAATTCAAGTATTACCAATATCATGGAGACATAAAGTTGATTTTTCACCACAAATGACCAAAAATGAAAATAAAGATTCAAGATTACCAACATTATCACAAATTAATGTTGATGGTATAAGATCTTTAAGAAATGTAGTTGGAGATGTTATATTAGATGTCTTGTTGTTTTATCAACCAAAATATTTAAATCAAATTTTTGAAGCTGTAATATCAGAAATGAATAAAGTTTATAAATTATATAAACAAAAAAACCCAAATTTTAATGGTAAAATTCATTTATTAGGTCATTCTTTAGGTTCTGCTATAATATTTGATATATTATCTGGTAAAAGTAGTACAATAAATGGTAAAAAAGATATTCCAAAAGATTTAGAATTCAATGTTGAAAATTTGTTTTTAGTTGGTTCACCTGTGGGGTTGTTTAAATTATTAGAAGGTAAAAACATTGAAGCAAGATCTGAAGTAAACTCTAAAGAATCAGAAATTATTGTTTCACCAAATTGTAAAAATTTATATAATTTATTTCATCCATGTGATCCAATAGCATATAGATTAGAACCATTAGTTACTCCCAAATTTGGAGATTTTAAAGCAGTACCGATAGAATTTGCAGTAAAAGGAATAAATAGTCAAATAAAAGATTTAGCAAATTTTGGTGATGAAATTTCAGAAAAAATTTCTTCTGCAGTAAAATGGTTAAGTTTAACTCAAAAACTGAAAAATATAAAAGATCCCAAAACAATTGAAGAAGAAGCTTCAAATGAAAATGCTTTAGGTGATTTAATTTCAAGTATTGCATTATCTGATAACACCACCGAAAATGAATCAAAGAAAAATTCAAAATCTGAATCAACAAAAAGAAAATTAACATCCAACGAATTAATTAAATTAACTTCATTAAATGAAACTGGTAGAATTGATTATAGTTTACCAATGGGTGTATTAGATTTAAGTTTAGTATCTGCTGTTAGTGCTCATATATCATATTTTGAAGATGAAAATACAGCAGGATTTTTAATGAAAGAAATTTTATCAAAAAAAGAAGAACCTGTTGATAAATCAGTTACATTATATTAATACATAGACAATTATTTATACAACATTTTATTCATCTATTAGTAAATCATCAATACTTTGATCTGCATCTTTTCTAATTAATTCTAACATTCCCTCAGGTAAAATTGGTTCATTCTTATCATTAACAATATATCTAAATGGCATTTCAGTAGATTCATATTTATTATATTTAATTTCAGGATAATCTAAGAACTGGATATCTTCAAATTTAGTACCATTTATAATTTTATGAGCTGTTCTTATAGCAGTATCTGTAGTCATTTGTAAATTCCCCAATCTTTTACCTTGAAATTTATATTTTTCTCTTAATATTCCAGTTCTATCTTTTCTTGGATGCTCACCTAATACTCCAGCTAGTAAGAAATAATCAATTGTTGATTTATCTTCAGGTATTAAATCTACCGTAGCAGCAGGATCTAATAATGCAATTTTTTCACGATTTATTTTGGCACCTTGAAATTCTAAATCTATAATTTCTTTTGTTGTCCATTGTAATCCCATATCTTTTAATTGTTTAGGTATATCTTTTTCAGTTATTGTTTTTGGTAATGATGTTAATATAAGATTTTCAGATCCAACATCTCTTATTATTTGTGAATATTCTAATATTACCCATTCAGAAAATCCTTCTTCCATATGCTCCACTATGTATTTCATCTTGTATGTGTATGTAATTGCTTGTTGAATTGAGATAGTGATATTTTTTTTGATTTATTGATATTTTTCAAGATACGGCTGCTGCATGAAATCAGATTCCTTTTTTGGCGATGATATTAAAAAGTTTGATGCTACCAGTCGCGGTTTCCAAAAATTTTGCAACCTTGTTGTTTCAAATTGATTAGATAAATGAAAAGAGCAAAATGGAAGTGTAAATCTATGGGAGATGGTACTAAGCTTTTATCAATTTTAAAGCACATCTTTTTATTTAAGATTTATTAATTATACCACATTTACCACTAAGTCGATTTCCATCACATTGTCTCGTAGATAAATTAAATACGAACATTAAAATTCTTCTCTATCAGTAAATTTAATTGTGCTATTTAGACATAAGATTCAGTCAGTCATAATTGAAGACGTATTACGTTGACGATTAGTAATAACAACGATTCGTTAAAAAAATTTTTGTAGATGAAATCATACTAGTGTCACGCGACTTGAAATTTAAACTTCCTTTGATACAAATCTACAAGTGAAAAATAAAATGAGGTAACTAAGCAACCACTTCAAAATTTCGAAATACCAAGTTAAGTAAAATTACAATAAGGTTAATGTTAGTGATAGTTAGACCAAAAAATCTTCAAAGGAGTTTTATACTCGTTTAAATTATGAAATTTATTCATTTGAGATGTTTTTTTTTTTTGTAAAACTTCGGTGATAAAAAAATAATAACCGATAATATCGGATATTTTTAAATTTTTTTATAGGAAATCAATACAATAAAATCAGTGATATTCATGCAACTAATTAACATACAAAAACTCACAATAAAAAGTATAATCGGCTTTCTATTAAACGTTAATTACATCTCTAATTTAGGTTAAAGGTCTTTAAATAGTATTTTAATAGTATTTTAATTGAATTTGAATTGTGGAGTATATGAAGGCGAAAAAGTGAAAAATTCTTAAAAAAATCAAACCTTAAAGAAATCAAATTGTAAACATAGTGAGGTGAATTTACATTATAAAATTTTCAAAAGGTTATGATGAAAAGTATATTTTCAATAAGTATAATCAAGTTGATAATTTTAAAGGTATGAAGATATTAAAGTTTTTACCAAATTAGTCTAGATTCATTTTCTGTTTTTCCAATTTGCTATTGCCATTAAGTTTTATTCTATAAACATATTATTCGTAATGAAAAGGATTAAATATATTTTCATATACTATTGCTAATCAGAGTAGAGTAGAGTATTTGAAGTATTACTAATATTATGGTAATTTAGAAAATCGGTTATACTAAATGATATACATACAAACATATAGTTATAAAATGAATGATTATAAAATCTTATAGAATATGATTAAAAGCAAAGTTCGGTAAAAATGGGAAATTCAGAATTAAAAAACCACTCAATACATTTCAAAATCTTACACAAAACTATTAACACACAAAACCAATTATTTAATTAAACCCAAAACAGTTTATTAATTGACACATAATTAACACTGCTACCAAATGAACGGGATTTCTAATCTTTTCATCAATCTTCTTTCAAATCTTTTTTAATATCTTAATTCCTATTTTTGAAAAAATTTTAGTAATAATAAGGCTTTATCTAAGCTGTATTGAAACTATAGGTAGTCAACAACACTTTAAAATCAGCCGATTGTACCAATTAATCTTGATGATAATTTCAAAAGATTAAAAAGATTAATTTTTATACTTTTTTTTTTTGTTATGTACAAAGTATTAATAAACTTTATTGTGTTAAAAAACTTACATATCATCATACACTTCTTTTTTAAATCCTAGATTTTTTAACTTTTATATATAAAATGAAATTAAAATCATTCTTAGAACTTTCAATGGGTAATTTTTAAAAGTTTAAAACAAATTCAGTTTTTCTACCCATCCCCTTCAAACAACTTAACCACTTTTCATTTGTTTTTTTGAGAAGAACATTTCATACCATCAAAAACACATCATTTTTGATAAAAAAAAAGATACACGTTAGTCCGAACACCGATACCAGCCGTTTTAACTCAGAATTCAAAACTTTGATAGGATTATAAACAATCAACTCAATTTCGAAAGCAGAACCAACTTCAAAGGAAAATTATCAACATCATACACGCATCTTAAAAATATACATAAATAATGACTAATGAAAACAATTGCATCATGAAACTCCTTACAAAGGGAGTATCAACATATCCTTATTTTACATTAAACATAATAATTTCAATAATTTGTCTACTATATAATTGCTTAAAACTAAAATCTAGAAAAATATATTTACATATTTTATGGAACTTAATTATAACAATTTTAATACCCATAAGCTTAGATAATATTTCAAATTTTATAAAGTACAACAATATTATAATATTCATGATATATTTTATTTCAATAATATTAACATTTGATTTCAATTTTAATACTTCATTTGTATACGAAAATGAGGAAGAGAAGTATAATGAAAAATCAAACACATATACTCAATCAACACAATCTCAAACTACAAAATTAAATATAATAGAAGTTATAATCTATAATTTATTATTATTTATTTCATTTTTGATAATTTCAATAATTATAATACCCAAAAATTTAACATTAATCTTTACATCATCAATTTATTCAATTAAATTTGATTATTTTTTCATTTCATTAACTTTAACTTACTTATTTAATATTATTTATAAAAATGTTGACTTATATAAATCATCTACCTATTCAGAATCTATCTACCTTGATTCAAATAATGAAAAACAAAATGAATCCTCCATCAAAAGAAGTAAAAAAATATTAAAATTTTTAAATAATTTCATTTGGTCATATAATTGTATAATAATAATATTTTCAATATGGTCTTTAGTAGTTGGAATTGATACAATGATAAATATTTCAAAAATTATAAATTTTAAAACAAATAAAATATCATCATTAACTTCAATTATTTTAAATAATTTAAATCAACATGATTATCATTTATGTTTACAAAATCAATTAATAGCTAGCAATAACAATGAAAGTATTTCAAATTCTTGTTTTAAAAATTTAGATTTTTCGAATATTCAATCTGCTTTAAATTTAATTCAAATTATTATCATTAATTGTTGGAGTGTTTATAATTTATTTGGTTTAATTTTATTACCTTTATGTTTATTCACAATTAGAAAAAGATTAGAAAAAGGTGTAAAAGTAAATGGAAATATTCATGTATAGAGCATTCTTTCACAGTTAAATAACTAGACAAATGTATATATCTTCATAAAATTGAATGATCATGTAGTTCAAAATGAGATCCTCAATCAAGAATCTTGTCAAAACGAAGTCGGTTTGACATATCTAGCTCGTAATATAAAACTGTTCTTTCGCTCAATTGAAGAATATCGTTTAAAACTGTTTCTAAATTTAGATTAATTCAATTTACGAGCAGAGGAGTAACACAAAATCAAGAGTTTATATACAGTATTACTAGATCTAAGAAAGTTTAAATCGAATAAGAAGGTTACAAAACCATAATAAATTAATATAGTCTAGAAGTTATTGACTTGTTTCAAAATCACTTTTAATGACTTATCAATGAATTATCAACACACTTGCTTCAAGTGAAAATAGTTGCAAAAGGTAAAAATTACATTACTTTATCAAAATTTACAGAAACAATATTGTCCACTAGTGTATGTTCCCGTAAGGATTGTCTAATTAGTTTTCGAATAATTAAGTCATAAACTTCAAATATGTTCATACCTCATACCCTCTCATTTGAATATTGACATGAAAAAAGTCAAAAACTAATCAAATAGTTTTAATTTGTTAAATCTTGATTAAAATTTTCTTCACTTAAATCTAACCCCTCGATTTGCTGGTAATATATGATGAGTTTAAAAAATTTGCATGAATGTACTTAATTTTGCATAAATTACGTGAAGCAAGCCGTATATATATCTACTTAAATAGTCAGATTTTAAAAATTTTGAAAAAAGTAATTGATCAATATTTTTTATAAACACTCATCCGAATAAAGCCAGCTTTTGAGGTAATTAGTCGATTTTTCATGAGTATTTTACATCTGATTGTATTAGATCTATTAAAATTTTCATTTAGCCAGTTGTAGGTGAATGATTATCAACAACTTTAATAAATCAGAGCTTAGTTTCTGATATCACTAACTCGTTTTTGGTTTGACCAAAATTGATCAATAGTAAGCTCACTTTCTTTCCTTAAACATATTGTCTCACATCCTCAAAGTTGGTGATAATTGGTTAATTTAATTGCAATAATTTATTAGCGTGAACTCTTTACCAATTAGGAAGTTGGTGCCCACTCACACAAAATATCGTAAATTATCTTATGTTACTTACTTAAGAGTGGAATATATATCCCAATTAAGTAATGATAAGATCTATAACCAAATTTATTTTCCAGTAATAATAATCGATTAAGATTCTATACATTATTTATGAAAAATATATGGTGGAAGATGAAGATGTAAAAAAATATAATAATTTTTTCTTCATAAACATACGATAAGATCTAGTTTATCATATAAATATTCAAGAAATTTCTCTTCAAGTATCTTTCGAAGTTATTTGCTATTCATATCATAAAACTAAATTATCAAAATGGAAAGATTAGCTCAATTAGCATTACAAACAACTGCTGCTGTTGGTGCTCCACAAGCTCCAGCACATCCATTAGATCCATTAACTCCTCAAGAAATTAAATTAGTTTCAAATGTTGTTAAAAATAATTATAAATCAAAATCTATAATTTTCAACACCATTACATTAAGAGAACCAATTAAAAAAGCTTATTATGAATGGAAAGAAAAAAATGGTCCAAAACCTCCAAGAATTGCTTATTTTGTTATTGTTGCAGATGGAGATGAAGGAGTTCATGAAGGTTTAGTTGATATTACTTATCAAAAATTAATTGAATTTAAAAATACTACAGGAGTTCAACCAATTTTAACTCCTTATGATTTA